TTTTTTTTTTTTTAGGGACCCAGAGGTGAAAAGGGCTTTAGAGGTGAAACTGTAAGTTTAACTAAATTTGTGATTATAGTATCCCTGACACTAGGCTATTAGCTCCATGAAAGCAAGAACTTTGTTAGAGTTATTCATTATTATGTCTCTGATACTTGTGGAAAACAAAGTGTCAGTTGTCAGGAAGTATTATAGAATTAACCTGTGTGGTATATTGCAGTGAAATCAGACAAGCCCTAAACATTTTAAGAACCCGCCAAGCACATTCTCCCCAGATCATCGTATGAAATGGAGCATTTGCTTTGTCAGGCATCAGGAGAGGAGGTGTGGGTCTTCTTCACCAGTTCCAGAACAAGAGCACTGCCACGTCACTTTAGGTATATACCTACTATGTCCAGTCAACACCAAAGAGAGCTTCAAATCATTAGTTATTTATTTCAGCCAATTAGAAGCAATGGTGAAAGGATGGGCAAAAGGTACACGGCACTTTTGTAACCTAAATAGCTTGTACTGGCACTATTTCCAGCATTTCTAGGATGCCAGTTCTTCCAAGTTAAAGAAGATATTTTGTAAAGGAGCCACTTCCCCAGAGATTGTGCTGAACTTACTTTTTAACAAATTTTCTATTGTGTGTATTTAAGGTATACAACATGATGTTATGGGATATATATAAACAGTAAAAAGGTTGCTATAGTGAAGCAAATTGACATATTCATCATCTCACATAGTTACTTTTTGTTTGCTTGTTGTTGTGGCAAGAGCAGCTAAAATCTACCTAGTTAGCATGGGATTCATGCTGAACTTATTAAAGCCACAGCCATAAACAGTGGGCAGGCATGGAATGAAATGACGAAGATTGAAACAAAGTACATAAGGCCCATAAGAATAAACTTAAATATAGCAATAACGACTTGATTCAGAAGTAAGGAGATTACACAGTGACAGCTGAGATTTTTGCTTCTCATCGTAGGGTATGCTTGGGAGTCAGAATAAGGATGTTACAGTTATAATAATTAGCTTAAAACGGAAAATTATGTGATTTCAGATAGCCTACAAATCCTCAAAGGGCATTCAAATACATGTGTGTGTTCGATTTGTAGAAACGTGACCCCCACCTTTTCTCAGCAGACTTGATATAACAGGAAGCAAGAGCACATGCACACAGTGAATCCACATCTCCCAGGAGGAACGAAAAGGGGAAAGGAAAAGCAGCGAGGCTTGGAATTATCCCAGTTTCCACACCTGTCTGGCTCTGCGTGCCTCTCTGACGTCCTCTCCAAGTACTCTGGCTGGAACATAAGTTTCCATCAGGATTAGGAAACCCCAAGTACCTACGACAATGTCACAAGCATTTCGTGTAGAAAAAACATTGGGTGGTTCTGATGGATCACAAACTCAATGAATTATGACTGCGATCTTGGGTTGTGCTGGTAGAAATATAGCATCCAGAATAAAGCAGGTAGTGGCGCCAGTCAGGCAATCCCTAAAGAGAAGCAGGGACCAAAGTAAAGCACATTCAGAGAAGGACTCTCAGATTGGTGAAGGATCTGAGGGAGCCATGTCCTGGAAAGACCAGTTGAAATATCTGGGATGTTTAGCCTCTTGCAGATTCTACTGCCTGATCACATCCCTTCCCTAGTCCTTTCTGTTCTCTTCTCTCTTCCTGGCTTTTGTACCTACTATTTCTCTACCATACTCTTTATGTATGGTGGAGAGTTCCTACTCATCTTGAGGTTTTGATTTAAAGATCTTTACTCAGGGTGGATTTGCTGATGTTTTGGTCCCACCTGACTCCCACCCCTAGACATAATACCTAGTACCAGGACCTAGTACACTGCCTGGCACCTGTCCTTCAGTTCGTTACTTAAATGTCCTCTTATCAGAGAGGCTTTCCCTGACCTGCCTATGTGAAACAGCAATGCTCCCACCTTCTTCCTTACCTTTCCTTAACCTGTGTCCTTACCACTGACATATTGTATATTCATTTGGTTTTTTTGTTTATTATATCTCCCCTCACTAGAGTGTAGGCTCCATGACACAGACATTTTATCTGTTATTATTGGGTTTTTTTGCAAACACTGTGTCCCCAACACCTGTCTTATAGTTGGCATTCAATAAATATTTAATGATTTATTGGTAAATGAATTAGAGAAGGTTTTGGGTATTGGAACATGATAGTTGTTTTCAAATATTTGAAAGGTTGTCTTACAGAAGAGAGCATAAAAATAATATGACTAACTCCAGAGGATAAAATCAAAATGATTTATTTAATGAATTGTATTTTCAGTTTCTGTGCTCAGCTCCCTGGGAAACAGCGAGCTCCATGAGGGCGTCGGGGTGGGGAACTTGCGGCCTCAGGGCCACATGTGGCCTTCCAGATCCTTGAGTGGGACCTTTTGACTGAATCCTTTCAATAAAGGGATTTGTTCTGCAGAGTTTGGATTCTGTCGAGGGTCCACACCTGGGGATCTGGAGGGCCACATGTGGCCTTGAGACCGCAGGTTCCCCACCCCTGCTGGGGGCCTCAATGTAGTAATGAACTGCCTAATATTATAACACTGCACAACAAGACAGTTTTACAAGATAGTGAGCACCTTTCACTGAAAGCCTAGTGAATCCCTCTGAGTTACTGCACTGGTATTCCTGCACAGAGGAGGGAACTATTAATAAAAGAGATACCTTTTACATCCCTTCCAGAGCTGAGTGTCTGTGATTCTACATAAAAGAAAAATAGATAAGCTCCCCCCACAAAAGAACTAACAAAGGCATAGAACATAAAGGAGTGTTCCTGACAGTGGAGGTTTATTCCCATCAGCTGAAAGTACTATTGTGAATCCATCCACTTCTCTCATTCTTTGTCACTGGCACCTTGTCCAGAGCATCATGATCTCTCTCTTGGACTCCCGACTTCTTTTCATTGCTTCCACTTTTCCCCACTATAGTCTACTCTCTACATAGCAAATAGAGTGATACTGTTAAAGCATAAATCAGGTTATATCACTCCCCTCTTTAAAACCTCCCTTTGACTTTTTCTTGCACTTAGAATAAAATCTAAACTTCCTTACGTTGGCTTACAAGAGCCCCTGCTTGCCTCTCCAGTCTCACAGTATTCCACGTTCCCCATGCCAACTACATGGACCTTCTTTCTATTCTCTGGAATATGCCTTTCTTTAACCTAGAAAATTCTTTCACATACTATTCAAATGATTGATTTTTTCTCAATATTCAGGTCTCCAGTCAAATATCATCTTAGAGAAGCATTCTCTGACCACTCTATCTCATTATTTCTGGTCATTCTCTTTCATAATATCCTATTTTCTTCATAAAACATAGCACTATTTGGAATTGTTTTCTGTTTTCTTCACTATAATATAAACTTTATGAGAGCAGGAAACTTTGTCTGGTACATTGGTTATCAGTGTCTAGAACAGAACCTGCCATATAGTAGGTATTATTTGGTAAATAAATTGATAGATAAATGAAACTATGGCCTAAAATTAAAAAGTTAACAGCCTTTTCCACTTCTAGTCTAGTAAAGTAGCATTTCATGAATTAACATGCTTAATAGTTTTTTGCTCTGTGGATTACCACAGTTCTCTTCATAAATATGGTACAAATCCCAGTACCCAAGGGAGAGGGGGAACAGGCACAGTGGCATAATGTAGGCAATTAAATCCTACTGAAAGAAAGTATTAACTGGCACATTAGAATTATGAGTTTATTCCGTTTTTATTGTTGAATAACTGATGCTAAATATCTTTTTATCACCTCTTTTCCTTTGATTTTGTTATAGTTTAAGGAGCTTTATAAAGGTAATCTTTTAATTCCTAGAGATCATTCTGCAATTACTTTAATCCATAAAATGTGCCATTAAACCTTTTTTTTCTTACGTTCTATGGAAAATTTGGTAACATTTCTTATACTCTCATTAGATCATTTTCAGTACATCTGACAGGTTTTTTTTCTTTAAGAGGACAGTTTAAGTATTGACTGGCTAAAACTCTTGGTCAGTTACTCTGTTTCAGAATATAATATCTTCATGTCCGTCAGTCTTAGATAATACCAGTAAGTGGGGCATTTTGGAAATGGATTTTATTAGCTAAAACTTACTGTATTGAGATAAATAAGACACTTAACTCTTTGTACAAAGATCAGAGTTACAACAATCTATCAAATTGGCTTTATCAATCTTATTTTTAAATTTTCAATGAAGCTGATATAAGAATTTATAAAGCTATGCTCTTCTTAACAAGTTTTATACCTAGACCAAAGAATGATTCAGTGATTTCAAAAAAATACAAAGAAATTTATAGCTCATTACACAACGCATGAAAAGTAAACTCTTTAGCATAAATTTGAGTTTCTTCGTTAGAAAGCTTCATATATTCTACAATTTAACATTGTAAACCCTACAATGGATCCCAAGTGGGTCTTTTCCACCACTGAGAGAGTTGTTTCTGTATTGCCATCTATAAAAGAGTTTCTTTCCTTTCTGTTCTGTGCTTGTTCCTTATCTGCCTGCCTATAGGTTATTTTAAAAATAAATCCCTAGATTCATATATATTCCCCAAACATAGCCAGAGTTTTGTGGCATCCAAAAAAAACTCCTTGCAGATAGCAAGTAGAATTCTCTCCTGTTCCCCTACTTTATTATGTTATTGACAAATTAATCATGAAAGGTTACAAAAATTTCCTGGTTTCTATGAGACCGCAGACACTTTTACAATATGATTTAGTAATTTTTAGAGTAAGTAATGCAAAGAGGATTGCTGAGAATAATGGGATACCATGGGTAATAAAATAAAATTTTAACTCAGAAATAATATATTACTGTCAATCATCTGAAAATGATTTTGGCAAAATGTCACAACTTGCAACATACCTTAAAGCAACAGAAGCATAAAAAAATACAGCCAATATCATACTGAACAGGTAAAAATTGAAAACATTCCCACTTAGAACTGGAACCAGACAAGGTTGCCCACTATCTCCACTTCTATTCAACATAGTGCTGCAAGTCCTTGCCAGAGCAATCAGACAAGAGAGGGGAA